CACTTTAAATGGGAGTTTCCGAAATTGGGGGACCCTAATATAGTACCCTAAATAGTTGGATCCCTATTATAAGGACTCCCAAATAAGGCACCCCCTATTTTCGGAAACTCCCAAATTGTTTCCGAAAACCAGCAGACTGAAGCTGCCGAGACCCAGCGACTGAATGTGTCACGGTGGATGATATACATCCTGCATTGCGTCAAGGACCCAAAACTATGGGAATTATGGTATATTCCTCATTATGGGTAATGCAGGATTTATATCATCAACCGCAGAACTGCTGGACAACACGTCGCATCACATTGTCTGTGTCGTTTCACTGGCCAGGATGGCCGCTGGTACCGTCGCTGCAGTATACCTGGACCCCAAAAGCATGTAGAATAATAGCCTTTTATAGGTAGTGGGCCAGTATTTTACCTACTTTTGGGGGTCTAGGTATATAGCTTCAGGCTTTTGGTTGGAGTTGTTAGCCAGCCCCTGGAGGTGCGAGTGCTCAGACAGTAGAATAGGTCAGGCTCAGGTTCAGGGTTTAGTCAGCAGTGCCAAGTTGCTGGAAGGTTTGTGGAGCTGTCCGTCGTGTGAAGTCCGCCACCCTAAACCCCAAAGCCCAACTCCTGCATGTCTGGGTTGTCAAGGTCCTCTGCTCACACTCCAAATCCCTAAATCCCCACCTGCCCAAGTCCGTGTATAGATAGTAGTATGTACTTCGACCTTGGTCTGTGTCAAAGCGTAGATACAATACAATATATATATATATATATATATATATATTTGTTATGTACACATGCTTACAAATGCTTTGGCCTCATTCGAGTATGTGCTCGACCGTGACACCAAGTCAATAACCCCGCAGCATTCACATCCTATGCTGGGTGTGATTTCGACATTTGCATCTTCGGTTCTGTGATTTGGCTTGCGCGTTCAACACTCGCCCGCGCACACGCATGCGCGCACGCGCGCACACACACACGACACACAGAGACACATATGGAGAGAGAGCGAGACAGAAAAAGATAGAGAGAGAGAGAGATTTACCTAAAGAAAGTCTCACACACACAGCCACACACAGCCACACACACACACACACACACATGCGCACACACACAGACACACAAACAAACACACACACACACATACACACCCACACCCCAACACATACGAACACACACACACACACACACGTCTGTGAGTGTGCGCAACCAGGCAGGCTTTGCGGAGTTGCTTGCTCTCGCTTTCGTCGTGACTGTACTTTCTATCTGCGCAGCTGCCCTCGCATACCTGAAGGTTCGTCCATGAAACTATTAGCCTTTGTGAGCCTAACCAAACGTACCTGTGTTCCCATCTCTTGTCAGTGTCTACTCTACTGGTATAGTCCTAAATTGTATATATATATATATATATATATATATATATATACTGGCTGTGGACTTCCTGAAGGCTGCCGGCATCGGTACACCTCTTAGTGCACCCTAAAATCTAAACTCCGTCACCTCTTTACCGGTTTACCGACGACAGTGGCATGAGTGGGAAGCTCTTTACCTCAAGGCCTAGACCCTGAATCCTAAACCTTTGATTTTTAACACCAGATGGGCTTAGGTTTAGGATTTAGGGCTGTAGACCCTAAACGCTAAATCCTGAACCCTAAACTCAAACAAACTGAACCTTCTAGCCTTCAAGCTCCGAAGACCTTCTTAAGTCGAATAAGGTGTCAGGGTATCTCCAAATATGGCTACAAGAGACGAGACGATGTCCTTTTGAATAAGTATTCTGACCCTCACATTACGGGGTACGAAATCGTGTGGGGCTTGGGGCTTTAGAGGTTTGGGGGCTGAGGGTCGAGTTGGTCAGGCTGTTATGGGTTTGGGGATTTAGGGATTTAGGGAGGCTAGGGGGTCAGGATGTTAGGGTTAGGGGTTTGGGGGTTCAGGGTTGACAAAACAGTACTAACAGAAGTAACAAATAGTAGTTGGGGTGCCCTGGTCAGTGTTGTGAGACTTAAGTTGTGGTTGATACTGCTGTATATGACGATGGTGATGAGGAGGAGCAGAGATTTGAGTTCGCTAGCATGTAGACGGTGCTTACTCAAGTGGCTCTGGATGGCATGCATGTTGAACGCAACCATTATGATAGTACTCCGTCGTAACCCTTTTGCTGCAACTCAAGCAACCCCGATCGTCACCTCCGAGTGAGCATATGCAGGGACGCTTTCGATCTTCAGCACGTAGTCTCCTCAGTTCCATACCCCTAAGGGTCCATGTACCCAAATACTATCTACTTTGGCCCCAATGTACCCAGAAAGGGACAACTTTAAGGCCAAAGTATATACTATTGAGGGTACATGGACCCTTAGGGTACTGGATGGGAGTTTTAGGGTCTGAGCGCTTTATAAGGACTGGCCCTAAACCCTAAACCCTAAACCCCAGGCTTGATAGCGGATCAGGATTCAGGGCTTCCATGTAGCGCTTCAGATCTAGGGTTGACATGGGGTGTTTTTTTTTTGCGGTCTTCCGAGATGAGGGCTGGGGTTGATCAAGTGTTGGGATCTGGGGTTTTAGGGCTTCAGGGCTTTGGAGGGTTGAAAAATGTCAAGATTTAGGGCTTTGGGGCTTCAGGGTTTCACAAAGTGGGACATATGCTTGAAACCGACATGAAAGACCTGAAACGACCCTTGAAAGAACCCTTGAAGGAACCCACAAACGTGCAGGAACATGCTTCCCATCGTCTGCTTTCATACCTGTGGGATGAAGGTCGAGGAGCCTTGATTCCATTTTCACTCCTGAAGCCCTGCACCGCATTAGGGTTCAATGTTTGTTTGGAGTTTTATAGGGTTTAGGATTTGGGGGTTTCCGAAAATAGGGTACCCTAATATAGTACCCTCAGTAGTGGGATGCTTATTTTAAGGACCCCCAATCAGGTACCCCTAATTTTCGGAAACCCCCATGTAGCCGGGTAAAGGATTAAGCGAAAACCCGACAAAAGAAACTCGAACTGTACACGAATCCCATTGACGCTAAACCTTAAACCAAACCAAAACTACTGCTGGCAATCGAGATTTCTGCGAGAACCGGAGCGAACGCTTGGACTTGCATCTCTAGTGACCGGAAGGGTCCATGTACCCAAATAGTATACTTTGGGGCCCCCAATTCACATAAAAAGAGACTACTTTAAGGCCTATATATATATATATGTGTGTATGGGAACCTGGACCCTCAGGGTGTGGACTTTGTCCATCAGGTCGGTGGTTGTCAACACTAAGATTTTTTGGGGTTAGGGTTCAAAACGGTTTAGGGTTTGGGTAGTGAAGCTTTGCCGCTTGTATGGCTTATGATTAGGTGCTGTAAGGCTTTTGTAGATTATGGTTCAGGGTTGGTTTGGGGCCGGCCAACAATCTATTTGACAGTTGCACAAGGGGCGCTAGTATGTTGGATCCCAGACGATATGATCCGCAGCATAGGGGCCCCTAATCAAACCCTAAACCCCAAACTTGAACCACACACCCCAACCGGATTCCCGAAGTAATGCCGGCCCATTCGTCTGCAGTCTGGTGCAAAATCTACTCGGATTCTCTGTTGAGGAACTATATCCATATTCTATCAATATGGAGTTAGAGACTCAGGGTTTTACGGTCTTAGGATTTAGAGGTTTGTGTAGCTTAGCCTCCAGGGTTAGAGCTTCGGGTTTAGAGCATCTTGTCTGGCGTGTCATAACGTGAAGCACGGCAAACCGTCTTCCAAAGTCACTAAGTGCGCAACTGCCAGCCTTTGGCTAAAGCAGCCGTTGATGTGGGGATTTCCGACAACCGTTGCAGTAGTTCATCATGACTTTCTAGTTAACCCTAAAACCTGAACCGTTTGAGTCAAGTTATGGGCCAAGGTTGGAGTTTCTTGTGCTGCATGTAGGATTCAAGGGTGTAGTCGTGTCTGAGCCCTTTTCAAACTGCAAAGCTTTGGCCCTCCCATGCTCTCAAATCTGTTTGCACTGCGGAAACCCTAAATTGAAAAGGTTTTGGCTTAAAGATGAAACCCAATTGATTGAATCCCGAAACCCACTGAACCCTTTCAATCGTGGTTTCGGGCTTGATTTCTGGCCGTTCTTGTCCGGGCTACTCGCAAGTCCTACTCCAACCATCGCGGTGCATGGTTTGCGCCCGAGCCCTACATGACATGCACAAGCTTTTCCGGTACTGTCCGATTCGTCGTAACGTATTTTGCAAGTTCTGTTCTATCATGTTGGCGTATGTTAGCCGTCAATGTCTGACTTCCGCAGGCACTCGTGGGAAGCATCTTGGTCGTGTCTTCCTATTGTGCCACATTGTTAGGCGATGTGGACGGCGATGGACCTTTCTTCAACCCGCCCCTTCTGCATTGCGGTGGTGGATCGCAGTTCAAAGCCCTCCCCCTCAGAGGGCGATGACGGTGGGACGCTGGCTCCCAATATTTCTTGAAAGTTCCCCCTAAACCCTAAACCCTAAACCCTTAACCCTACACCCTAAACCCTTAACCCTTAAACCTAAACCCTGCCCCGCCGACCCGGTCCCCGCCCAAGCGTCAGGCTATGGCGGTCGCTCCTATTTCTTAAATCTACGGCTTCCTTGCCTGCTAGGGGCTGCGGTTTGGCGCAGGCAGGGTTTACTGTAAGGTCATCTAGGGTTAGAAAGTTTCGTGGTGCGAGGTATGGCTTTCAGTTCGATTTGCAGTGGCTTCGGGCCTATTATTCTTATGGCTTGCGAATTGTGTTTTGTGTTTTTGGGGCTGCTTGCTTGCTGACCAGAAACCGAGAGGCAGTTACAGTTTCCAAACGTCAGGGACTCTGTACTTAGCTGCTGAGTTCATAAGCGCCAAAAAGTGTGCACTTTCAATTTTATGCTTCTCAGTGTATAACCCCATGGTTCTTTCAGGGTTCCTATGCACCCTTAGGATTACCTAGCCCCTCTATCTGAAAAGAAGTCGCATCGGCTTTCTGAAACCTCCCACATAGCTAAGAAGATAAAGGCCTCTCACTCACTGAAAAACGCTGGGATCGAACTCGAAGATTTCGGATGGACGGCCCTGAGATTCAAGCGGGAGCGCCGGATTGCAGGCCAGGCGAATGGGGTTCTGGGGCCCATTATAATTAGAATAAGGAACCCCTCAAAATAGCATAGGTAATTAGATATTAAGGCCCCTATAGTAGAGTTTTACAACCCTCTCAACCCCTGCAGAATCCGTATATCAGCCTTTTTTACAAGAACCCTTCAAGGAACCCTGCACATACTTCCACCCAGAGATCCCCATATCCCTTAACTCAGGAATATACCTTTAGCCAGAATATTAAGGCCCCTATAACTTAAGGCATCTTTTTCTTAAAATAAGGGATGTTGGGATCTCTGAGGCATAGCGTTTCCTTTGGGTTTAGGGCATTCGGGGCGAGACCTGCTTTAAAGCTCGAAAGGCTGCAGGTGTACTAGACCCAAGAGTAACTGAGGAATCAAAAGGGTGCCCTTTTGGTCGAAGGGGGCTACTTGGAGGGTCGGGGGACTTAGTAACTGGTTATTTTAGGGACTTACAAGTACCATAACCCCAATCAGGGTCCCTTTTAGGGTACTTATAAGTCTACTTGAGTCTACTTGCTACCTACTTACTACGTCCCCCGACCCTCCAAGTATCTGAACCCCCAAAAAAGGGTATAAGGGCCTACTATGGGTCCTGGTCTAGGGTAGGAAAATCCCGGGGTCGAGGCTTTTTTTGCGTGTTTTGGAATCAGCTCGATTTAGGGTTGACTCTGTGGGGTAAGGCCCAATGCTTAAACCCAACCCCATAAAGCCTACATTTCGCGTTCAGAGATCGGGCGTTGGGGCCGCTAGTTTTGGGATGAATGGGGAGGGGGGTTTAGGACCCCTTAAACCCGAAAGCTTGCGTGGGTCCTGGAAAATTGCCAGAGCGAGGTAATAAGGTCCGTCGTCGCCGTGCGCGAAGGAGGACCATGAGTGTGATGCGCCGTATTCCGTAGCAGTCACCTGTACCCGGGTTAGGGATCAGGATTTAGTTTAAGGCTGGAGGGTTTTGGGTCGAAGGCTTTCGGGTTTCAGGGTCTATGGGAGCTTAGCAAAAGTCAGGTTTAAGGTACTCATCAGGATGAAACATCTTGGCAAAGTGTTTTGACATGCCAACACGATGCCAGACTTCGCAGACCCAAGGGGTCCTATGTACCGATATAGTAGAATGTAGGGTTTCCATATTAGGAGTTCTTATAATGACTTAGGGAAGTATCCCCCATGACACTACATAGGACCCTTCGGGAGAGCGAGAGGTAGATGATACGATGTAAGGAAAGTTTCTAGGACCATCTCTTCGTTGCCCAGAGGTCCCAATATCCCTCATTTTCAGAAATATATACCTTAAACTATAGAGACCTTAAAAATTTTGGTTTAAGGTATATTCCTTAATTAATGGATTTTGGGATCTCTGGGTGCTGAGTTCCTAAGCCCCCAATCAAAAGGTGTACACTTTCAGGTTTATAGTGGGTAATATTATCGCGAAACATGGAAAGTGTATCCACTCAGCTGCTAAGATCTAGCACCTGTCTCCTAAACCCAAGGCATAGACCACCCACCATCGATGTCGAAAGGCCGATTCCGTGTGCCACGCCTCCCCCAAAAACCCAAAACCCTGAACCCCGTGACCCCAAGCTTCTAATTCCTAAACCCTCGCTCTAAACCCTAAACCCCCCCGCGAACTATGGGGACCTCAGCACCCGCGGACCCGCCTAGACATGTACTGGTCCCTTGTAGGTGGGCTTTCGGGGCTTTCAGGGGGATTCTGCACCTCTGTTTGGACGCCGTATACGACGTGGGGTGGGATAGGCAGAAAGACAGCCTTTATACATACTGTAGGGGCCTTACCTATACGATGTTGGAGGATTCCTTATAATAGTTTTAGCATAACTAATGGGCCCCAACACCCTAATTATTGTAAATTTTGAGGCCCCTGTATTACAGCTTTGACAGCTCATCGCCATTGTACGATGCACTCGACACGACCTTGTCGCAAGATACTGTCGCCTGCGCGCCATGCCACGGCAAGCCCCAAACCCTAAACCCTAAACCCTAAAACCCTAAACCCTAAAACCCTAAAAACTATAAAACCATAAAACCCTAAACCTTTAAACCCTAACAGTACAAAGCCCAGGCCATCCTGCTCGAACTTGTCTCCTCTCCATGCGTAGATTCCTTCCAGCGTGCCATGGAACTAGCGTACTATCGAAACCTTAATGCATTTGGGCGCATTTTAGTATAAGGAGCCCAAGGGAATAGTGTTGGAACCTATTCAGACCGCTATGTTACTGCCATGACGACTGGATGACGCTCCTCATTGTGAAGGCTTGATACAGGGCCTAGAGTTTAGGCGGGTTTAGGGTCTACTGCTACGACAGTATTGAGGTGCTACCAGTTTACTCGTTAACCCTCACACTAAGCTGCTACTCGCTAGCGTAGAACATGTTGGAACCACGTTGGCAAAGAGATTGAACAAGGGAGTACGTGGAGGCCCTTAGGAAATATGTAATTCGCCTTGCTAAGCCTCAGGGTGGATTTTATATGGCCTACAAAAAAGATCAAGCGACAGAGACGGAAAAAAAAATACAGCATGCCAATGTCAGAAAAGATGCGGTTATTCCTTCCCGACGTGGCCAATGCTAGGAAGTTCACACCACCGGCAACCTGGCTCTTAAGTCCGTCTGCAGTGTTTAGGGTTTAGGGTTGCGGGTTTAGGGTTTAAAGTTTAGTGCTTAGGGTCAGAAAATAATGTACCAGGGGCGAGCACCAACTCCAACAAGCTTAAAGTGTACCATCACAACTACCAAGTAAGATTGACGGTGGTCTCTACAACCCCTAAACGGCCCTAAAAACACTTGAGACCATGAAGTCTAAACCAAACATAAACGGAAACCCTTCAAGCACCAAACCGGCAAGCGCCCGACCTACTTACAGACTTCAATGGCTTATTGAGGCCCCTTTGCTACGGATCACTACCCCTAGGGGTCCAGGTACCCAAATAGTATATACATCGGTCTCAAAGTAGTCCCCATAATAGGTGCATTGGGGCCACAAAGTATTTTACTAGTTGGGAACATGGATCATGAGGGTATTACAGTTTGACGACTTTCTTCTGGTTTGAGGGCTCGGAGACACAAGCTAGACCTAAGAGTAACCTAGGAATAAGAAGGGTGCCCTTTCTGGTTTAAGAGGGGTTAGAAGGGAACCTAAACTCTAAAAAAGGGAACTAGGTCCTAGCAAGCAATATACTTTGGCCCCAATGTACCTAAATAGAGACTACTTTAAGGCCAGTGTATATACTATTTGGGTACATGGACCCTTAGGCGGCAATTCTGCCCAGGAAACGAAAGCGTGGACCGCGTGTGTGTATACCTCCTCGATGGACTGAGCCACTTCGAAGTCCTAGGCTTTGAAGTAACAGGATTTAGGGTAGAAGCTCAAAAGTTGGAAACCCAAACCCTCAATCCTTAAGAGTAATGTATAGGGAATCCCATACTATTTGGCCTTCATCCGGTTTCCAACTTTTGGGGGCTTACTATGAAGTAACAAGATTTAGGGTATAGGGGTTCAGGGTGTAGGGGTTTAGGGCTTCAGGGTTTAGGGGTCCGGGATTAAGGGTATAGGGGTTCAGGGTGTAGGGGTTTAGGGTTTAGAGTTTTTGGGTTTAGGGTTTAGGTTGTAAAGTATAGACTTTTATTTCACAATGGTTCCCTTTGAGTAGCAGGTCCCCAAAAAGTATTAAAGTATGGCACGCCAAAGCCCAGAGTCAGACCCACTCCATGAATAGATCCTGCTGGGTCCTGCTGCTGCCGGTTTCAGGGTTTAATGTGGGAATCTGATTAAGAAACCCGGGGCCTATAACCCCACAATAACAGGATTCATATCAGGAACCCTAATAAAGGCCCAAGGTTTCTTAATCAGTTAACTGTAGCTTTTGCAGAGATCCTGCGGGAGAGCTTTAGGGTTCACATGTTTAAGGTTGAGTGCGTATATTTGCGTGCGCGATCGTGTGATAATTACCTGGGGTTAGGGTACTAGGGAAATGTACGTTTCCGAGATATTTAGACCCTGTGGGTTCGGAATTCTGTTCGGTGTTTTGGCATTCAGGGATTGAGGTTGAAGGTGCGTTGAAGCATTCAGGATTTTCAGGCTGTAGGATGTCAGAGTAGGGTGTGGAGGGGCTTTAGAGAGTAGGGTGTGGAGGGTTGTACCTTCTCGATGCTCTGCGACAGCCAGGTAGAGGACATCGTTGATATAGAAGACGGACAGGTCCACTGCGTTCTTGGCATCTAGCCTTTGGTCCCATATCATCACAGTGTAGGGTTTAGGGCTAAGGGCCCATATCTTACAAAACAGAAGGCTATGATAGATAACCCCAACACAACTTAGCCGGCAGAACAACTAAGGGGTAGAACTCTAACACAAGCCGGCAGCCCCAAACCCTACAAATCATCAGGCATTCACACCCAACAGACTCATGGCGTATGACCCCCTCCCCCCTAAAACAAAAAAAAACAACCTCCACCCCAAATCAAACCCTAACCCCCGACCCGCCCCCCCAACCCCTCCCGCCCCTTCTTCGAAGCAAGAACTAAAAGCCGAGCAGGTAGCCGCTTCCATGGCTCGAAGGACGAGCCGCTCCAACGGTGGATTGCGACATCTCCACCTCTGAGTTCAGGGTTTAGGGCTGAGGGTTCAGGATTTAGGGTTTAGTTGGCGTTGAGGCGTTGTTCGGTCGGTATTTATAGTTTGGGTAATAGGTGTCATATAGGCTTGTGTACAAGAGGGTTCCATGGAGGTCTGAATTGGTGTTCTGGGCTAGGCACATTCAACAGTCTAAATATATGTACATCCTGTGTGTCGATGCGCCCCATACGGTCCACCACATCCGCTGCGTCACGCGGGAATATCCCTGGTTTACAGCGCAATGCCCTCGTCCTAGGGTTTGAGTAGTCGATGACGGTCTAGGCAGGTATAAGGCTCTTCTCTTGTCCCCTGGTTAGCCTTAAGCTCTAAGCCCGCGCCCCCTTCCAGGTGTAAGCTCTTGTCGCATGTCTCGCTGCAGCCTTGCCTACGTGAGCTGCAATCGCCAGGTACTTCGTACCCTCCATGTCGAAGAACTTCATCCTATAAGCCGCGTTAGATTTTGAGTTAAGGCTTTGGATTTCACGCATCTTTATTGAGCCCTTGGGTTTTCCAGTAGAACAAAAGGAAAATGGTTCCTAAGGAGCACCCAGCATCGACCTGGCTTCCTGAACGGTGGGGATACTCCTTTGGCTTTGCGTTCATGAACCCTTGATCCCAAAATCTAAACCACCCCATAAACCCCAAACTCCCTGAACCCTAAACCTCCCAAACTCCAAGCTCTAAGCCCTAAGCCGTAAACAAAGCCTCAACCCTCCAAAACCCTGAGCCTAAGCGGTAAAAAGAAGCACTAGATCAACTCCAAGGGTCTGAAACTCCTCAAGAGCGGTGCCGTTCCACTTGAAGACGTAGCTGGGTGACTGAGCCATGGCTGCACCAACGTAACTTACGTTATCGATCGCGAAGTCCTGCAACACGCTGGCTTGAAGGGCCATAAAGCCTCAAACCCTAAAGCCTAAACCCCGAAACCCTAAACTCGAAACCTCAAACCTTAGTGTAGGAACCTGATTAAGCAATCTTGAGCCTATATCCCGAAAATGGTAGGATTCATCTAAGGAACCCTAACAAAAGTCCAAGGTTTCTTAATCAGGTTCCTACATTAACCCCCCCAAAACCCTTATAGTACCCTTTAAAGGAACCCTTATATCCTAATAAAGACCCGAAGCGTTGTCCTCCAAGTCTGTGACTCCGATGCTGTGATCTGGAAGAGGCATGGTCTGATACTCTACGAACCTATACTGAAGTTAGAACCCTAGCAAACAAAATATTTTTTAGCTGTTTCTTAGGGATTATAATAACAAAAAAATAAAAAAATATTTCTAAGTACCCCTAAGGAACTGAGTGCCCTCCCACCGACAAACCTTCGACTCGCCCCCCTTGAAGTTTGCCACTGCAAGGTAAGAGGAACCACCGACTTCGAAGTACTCCAAGTCATAGACCCGCTCCCCAATAATATTCCCACTAAGACGCTGTACCTCTTGAAAGGTCGTCCCATCCAATTCGTAGACCATGGAATCACGGTTGTCAGCAGCCAGCGCGATGTACTGCGTTCCGTTCATCACGAAAGGTTCCCACCCCCTGTCCTGACTATCCTTAGTTGCTGAGTTCGTAAGCGCCAAAATGTGCACACTTTCAGTTTTATAGTGGGTAAGATTATTTCAATTAGTGTAAAGTGTATCCACTCAGCTACTAAGTATCAAAGGGAACTTGGAACACGGATTGCAGGCCCACGCCAAAATCTTCGTCTGAAACTTCAGGATCTGAGGCAAGAATGTCGTCACAACCCTGCAGTCCCAAATGCCATATCAAAACAATGCCGGCGGCGAGGCGAGCCGGCACAACTGGTAAACCCATGGCTCTTCTGCCAGTGCCTATGAGCAGGAAGGTCTACGAAACTGTAGCTCGACTCCATTGGCTGCAGCGCACGTGTATGTGTGTGTATACATATATACACATACAGACTATCTACACACATATGAGTGTTGATCCAAATTCGTTCATCCCCGGATGACCTTCTTCACGAACATATGTGTGTCTTTAGCGGAAGCTTCGAGGGGCCATCGCGCCTTGTATGAGTATGGCAATCGTTCCGTGTCGTCGTTTGGAGTTGGCCAGGAAGTCCCAAGGCCTCAAAGCACTGCCCTAAGGCCCCAAAGTAGTTCCTTTTTGGGGGTTCAGACTCAGACTTCTATAAGGTAATCCCAAAAAGGAACTACTTTGGGGCCGATGGGTAGCGACACCCCCCCCCCCCCCCCCCCAAGGAGTTTCTCTGGCTTTTGACACCGTCGTCGCAGTGACCCGGTCGCCGGGACGGCACGGCTCCCAACATGTATCCATCAACCAAAAGCCCCGCTCTTCATGAATAATTCTGGAGCCAAAACCTCAAGACCCAAACCTTGAACCCTCAACTGCAAACCCTCACCCCTGGATTTCCGAATAACCCTTGCCTGCCGGGTACTCTTCATCAGCGCACCCCTGAATAAATGTCGAGTTTCCACAGCACTGAGAGGCCCTAAAATCCTTGCGACATCTTGTTGAGGCTCATTCTCATTTTGCGGAGTCGTGTGGAAAACCCCCCCACCCCACCCCTGCAACCCCCCTCCCCCCTCAAAAAAAACAAGAAGAAGCTCTGGGACCCCTTCATGGGAGCCTGAACCCCAGACCTTTAACCGAACCTTCTAGGGTCCGGAGAGACTCCAATATCCCGTAATTTAGGAATATTCCTTCAATCATATTCGGGCTACTACTATAGTTAAGTGCATAATCCTTTCTACTTGTAAGGGACATTAGCGTCTAATGGGTTTATGGCTGAGAGTTTAGCCGAGTCCCTGCCCCCCCACGAAACCAGGCTCCAAACTCGACCCCCGAAGCCTTGAAGTTCACCCTGAGCAGTGGCTTAGGGAGTCGAAAAGGGGTTTAGGGTTTAGGGAGTCGAAAAGGGGTTTAGGGTTTAGGGAGTCGAAAAGGGCTTTAGGGTTTAGGGAGTCGAAAAGGGCTTTAGGGTCTAGGGAGTGGAAGGGTTAAGGGTTTAGGGAGTCGAAAAGGGCTTTAGGGTTTAGGGAGTCGAAAAGGGGTTTAGGGTCTAGGGAGTGGAAGGGTTTAGGGTTTAGGGAGTCGAAAAGGGGTTATAGGATTTGGGGTTTCGTGGCAAAGGTGCGGCAGTGAGACGTCAGCATCAGCCCTCGAACTCCGACCTAAGGTGTTCTGGTACCGAAGCTCCCTCGAACTCGCAACGCGCACACTAAGACCTAAGCCCTAAACTTTCTCCTAAACCCTCAAACCTGAAGCTCATCAGCAGGGCTCAGAGTGTAGGGCTGGGACACCGTAGCGACCCCAATAAAATGTAGGCCACGGCACGACGATGCAATACGGTGATCGTCAGCAGCCCGCTTCCATGTTGATCACGAAGACGCAGATCTGGCCAGGGTTTGAGCGAATGGAATTTCGGCCGAGAAAATAATTTGGGAGTTTCGGAAAATAGGGGACCTTAATATAGTACCTTAAATAGTAGGATCCTTATTATAATGACCCCCCAAAATAAGGTTCCCTAGTTTTCGGAAACCATTTTTTGTCGTGGCTGTGAGCCATAGCATGCAGATCTGGAGCCTTCTCACTGACCCTAATAATTAGGTACTCGGGTTTGGGATAGTAGTTATGTGGGTTACTACTTTTTGAGAGTATATGATAATTGGGTACTTGGACCCTTAGGGTGAAAGCTGTGATAACCTCCAGGCAGCCTTTGCATCGAAAAGGCTGGGCTAGTCGCTCCGCACGGCGGCAGCGGCAGTCGCTCCCGTTGTCGGCATGAAAGGATCCAAGGGCAAAAGGAGGGACCCCTAATAAGGACCCCTAGGTATATACCCTTAATATATAGCTAAGGGTCCCCATTAAGGGTCCCTCCTTTTCCCCTTTGAAAGGACACTACTTGCAGACCCCGACCCGCAAATCCCAAAATCCCGAAACCCCGAAAACCTGCAACCCTGACGCCCGTGAGCCCTAAACCTTGAAACCGAACCCCCAAAACCCCCTAAATCCTAAACTCTAAATCCCAAAAACTTAACTCCTAAACCTGTAACCGCAAAAAAAAATGATCCTGCAAGCCCTAGATCCCCGAATCCGAAACCCTACACCCGAAATCCTGAATCCGACACCTTAAACCCTGAACCCTACATCCCTGAAGCCTAAAGCCTCAACCCGACACCCCAAGCCCTGAACCCTACATCCCTCAAGTTTAAATTAAAGCCTAAACCCTAAACACACACACTAAACCATATGTAAGCCTAAACCCTTAAACCTCAACCCTAAACCCCAAACGCCCTAAACCCTAAACCCTAAACGCCCTAAACCCCTAAACCCTAAACCCCAAACGCCCTAAACCCTACGCCTAAAGTCTGCGCAGATGAGCCTGAAAAGCTCAAAGGTTGGCTTCGGAGCTCCGGGCTGAACTCCACACGATTTAGGAGTTTATGGGTTTGGGGCTTGGGGTTTAGGGCTTATAGGCTGTATGGGGTTTTCGGGTTTCCACACGATTTAGGAGTTTATCTCTCTTCTTCAACAGCCGGGCACCAAAAGTTCAAACTTTCGAAGATAGAGCGAATATGTATGTATGTATATGTATATATACATATAGCCAAAAAGTTCAAAGTTCTCCCGTGAACTGTCTAAGTAATGGGTTTGGGGCTTGGAGTTTAGGGTTTGGGACTTATAGGATTGATAGCGTTGAGTGCTTGAGGTTTAGGGCTTATAGAGTTTATGGGGTTTTCGGGTTTGGGGCTTGGGGTTTACGGTTCAGGGCTCAGAAGTCTTATAGGATTTGGGGCTTGGGTTTTAGGGTGTAGGAAATTTTCGGGCTCATAGGCCTCATGGCGTTTTGGGTGGAGGGTGTGGAGCTCAGGGCTTAAAACGGTTTAGAAAGGGTTTGTAGAGCTGTTGAGGGGTTCTGGATGTCCGTGCGAAATTTACGATTCAGAACCTTCGGGTTTGGGGGGTTAAGTTGATGGCACTTGGGTAATTAAGGGTTCATGAAGCTGCGGTAACATAAAGACTAAGGACTTGAAGGGTTTCCAAGAGACTGATTCAGCTTGATGTGGTTCCCGCTGCCAGGATTCCCAACAAGCCCGAGTGGTAAGTTGCTAAGGGCTCATGCAGCTCAAGACCCCCCGACTCACCGACAAACATGCGAACCAACACGTTGGCATGCTGCCAACTCTTCGAACCAGTCAAACGCCCTGAATAATAAGTAGGATTGTTGACTACTGCTGAGGGTCCCTGACAGAATCATACTATACTCACCAAACCGTATTCTAATAGTTAAAGCACCCATCTTGTACGAAGCCGTTGCCCGGCTTGCCTAGGGGGGCCTCTAGGGCCTACGGGCTACTGTATACAAGTGCATAGATAAACCTATATCTATATCGATGTCTATATCTGTGTATATGTATGTATATGTACATATATATATGTACATTATAGATGATAACGTGTGTGTGTGTGTGTGCACGCTTGCGTTAGTATATGTAGGTGTATAAGCATCCATATATATATATATGTGTGTATATATGCACACACACACAAGATGCTAATTATGACGGTTCTAGAAGAAGGCTACTATGGAGGTTTGCGAAGTGAGTTCAGGCAATTCGGGATTAGGAGGCGCGCGCGCGCGCGATCTGTGCATGGTCAGACGTTGTTTTAACCGATCTCGCGAGACCGCGTTGCAGTCTACAGAGACTCCAGGGTTTAGGGTTTAGGGGTTTAGGGGTTTAGGGGTTTAGGGGTTTAGGGGTTTAGGGTTTAGGGTTCCAGCATCCCTTAACTTAGGAATATGCCCTAAACCATATCAGGGATCCTACTATAGTTTAATAGGGCCCTTATAGATCCCCTTAAGGAACCCAAAGGTATAAGGAAGGATATTGGAGTCTCTGGGTCTCTCGGTGCCCTCGAAGCTTTCCGAGCTACCTTGATCCTCTTCGTTACCTTCTCTAGTTCATGGCTGGGATAGGATTAAAAATCTAAATTCTTATTCCTTATTGGGTTTAAGTACCCATAAAATGCAAAATGTTACCCAACTATGACAAAGATCTTTCTGGACTACGGAATCCGAACATACGAGAAAACCACTTCTGCCAAGTTTAACTTCTACATCCGAAACATTCCGAAACCATAACATGTCCGAAAGAGGCTCATATATTGTAGGTACTTTCCGGACAAAGGATATCCAACACTACATACACGAATTCCTTAAGGTAATCAACTCATGTCTTGTTCACCATACGAAAACTATACCCCAATAAATCAAGAAGGAAGGCAAACTGAACAAGCACACAGGAGCCGTCTGAGTAGGACTCTTGCAGGATTCAGAAACCTGGACTTAACGCACTTATGTTCTTTCATCTTCATTTCATACTTGGAAGCTTCTTGAAAACTATACCCTGAACCCGCAAGCCTACAGTTGCGGGTTTGGTAGGATTAGTTCAGAATGTAATAGAGTTCGGGTCCAAAACCGAATTCTACTCAGGATACCTTGGATGTCAACGAGAATAATCTAGGGTCAGCGAGTTGAAGCTATCCTAAACCTTAAGCCGCTAACCGTCAGTGCACCTGGTGGAATATGAAGGTCCGTGCATCGCCTATAGCTTTGGTGCACAGCTTCACCGCATTCTTGGAAATTGCTTTCTCCGGTACCTTGCTTGCCACAGTCCACATTCACGTCTAAGCTTGCGGAAGAGGAAGGGACAACTAGAAAGCGCAACTCTCAGTGCGGCGGCCTATCCCTAAACCCGAAACCTAGCCTGCACCCCAGGCACAGTGGTGCAGGAATGTCGCGAGCTCGTGGGGCGGGCGTTTCGGTGTTCCGCATTACTACATTATGGTGAGGACATGTGTATATATATATATATAACACATATATACACATACATATATATATACATACACGTAAGTATGTATGTACGTACCTGTCTATGTATGTAGGTAGGTATGTGTGCATCGACCTACCTCCCCCCCCCCCACTAACCAAACCGAAACCTCAACTGCAGGGACCCACCTTAGGTTTCACGTGACTAATCTATAGGGGCCGTAATAATAATTAGAATGCAGGGTTTCGGGGGAGGGCAGGGGGGGGGGATAGTATACTATAACTTCGAATAAGGAACCCTCAAACCTTATTCTAATTATTAAGGCCCCGATAGTAGGAGGGTCAGCTGACAAGGAGCAGGCTTGTCTAGTGACTCAGTCCTCGGGACTAAACAACCTTTAACCCGTTTACTTGCGACAGGGGTTTAGGGTTTAGGGCTATAAGTATTTGAAAAAGCCTCCGACGGGAAGCTACATATGTTAAGTAGGGGTTTGCATCTGTCTTTGTGACTTTTGTCTTCCTGAAACCAGCCGTCAGAAAGGTTGGATCGGGTCTAGAAAGTAACAACAGTACTAGTAATTGTAATGGTAACAGCTAGTCTTTGCCGTAGGCTCCGCTCATTGGCTTTGAAGGGAACCGGGCTGGGTTTTAGGTGTTCGAACGCAGATCGAATGTAGCGGCCGTAAGCCTAGTCTTCCTTTGGAGGCATTTATAGGGTGGGTTGTGGCTCAAGGGTCTATAAGGTGTTAATATAGGGGGCTTAGCTTTAGGAAATGATTAGGCTAGGGTTCGGGGGCACATTTTACAATACTTGCAAAAGGGACAATGCTATTCGTAGTTGGTAAGCCCCTGAAAAAACACACTCGGGGATTTACGGTTGCAATGTCCCCTAGATTGGCGCCAATTCGTGCAGACTGACGGGCTTCGATGAGCTTTCAGGGGAGCCTATTATATACAGGGTTTAGGGTTTACCTAAGTAGTATACGTGCTTGAGCCTTGAAGGGGTTCCTATATAAGCATAGGGGCATTGCAGAACTCATTATTGCAGACTGCTGTTGAGGCGCTCCGTTGAATCCAGCCGACTCTCAGCACACACTGCGACCACTTCCATCTCGATACGCGAAGCACGTGAAACACTAATGCGGCATCCGCCGGGACCAGACGGATGCAAGAAACAACTTACAGACCACACCTGCCCGAAAGGCGAACCACACCTTAGAACAAGGGAACAAACAAACACACAAAAAAATCAATCACGCCAACTTCGCCTCGCCGTGGAAGGGGGAGGAGGTGAACATATCGGCGATTCTTACGGAATGCTATAGGGATATAGACTCCAGGGTTTGAGTTTTGGAGTTTCCCGCCTCCTCTGGGGAGCACCGCGGTTCTGACGCTCCGATGGCTGCGTCGGATTTCTTGACCATCCCAACCTACTGTACATGCCCTATTGACACCCTAAACTCCCTAACTAAACCCTGTAGGTCCTAAGCCCTAGGAAAGGATACGTACTCCTCAATCTGAAAACCCATAAACGATGGATTTATGATTTCAGTTGGGTGCACCTCTACGGTCCTTGTACCCGCCTTCCCCAGAGACTCCAATATCCCTTAATTCGGGAATATACTTTAAATAATGAATGGTAGGATCCCTCACTAATATGATTTGAGGAATATTACTTGAATAAGGGACAAGGATATGGGAGTCGCTGGGTCCTAAAAGGATATGGGAGTTTCCGAAAATAGGGGACCCTAATATAGTACCCTAAATAGTAGGATCCTTATTATAAGGACCCCCAAATAAGGGACCCTCAGTGTAGCTCAAGAGCTATGACTCGGAGCTCAAGCTGCATTCATTTATAGGGGAACTGGGAACCCTAAACCCTAAATCCTAAATCCTAAACCCTAAACCCTAAATCCTAAACCCCAAATCCTAAATCATAAACCCTAAACCCTAAATCCTAAACCCTAAACCCTAAATCCTGAACCCTAAATCCTATACCCTAAACCCTAAATCCTAAACCCTAAACCCTAAATCCTAAACCGTAGGAAACGGAACTCACCGAAGCGCTGCCCAGTTGCTGGCTGGTCCGTGGAGCCGTCCGAATTCCCAAACCACATCCACTCCTGCACATATGGGATTTCCGAACATTAGGGGTACCTTATTTTGGGGTCCTGATTATAAGGATCCTACTATTTGGGGTATTATGTTAGGGTCCCTGTTTTCGGAAACTCCCATATTGGACGGTCAGCTCATCAGTCAATGCAGAACCATGAAATTCCACCCGGCGCTCAAGCAAGCTGCCAATGCAACGCCCATCCCCTGTGATTCCTTCGAGTTGTTGATTCTCGGATTACTGAAATCTTGCTTGGGTGGGTTCCATAAAGGTCCATGTGCCCAAATAGTACTTTAAGGCCAAAGTATATACTATCTGGGTACATGGGAGTTTCCGAAAATAGGGGACCCTAGTATAGTACCCTAAAAAGTAGGGTCCTTATTATAAGGACCCCAAAATAAGGTACCCCTAATTTTTGGAAACTCCCACATGGACCCCTTATAGTATCGGGTTTTCCTGTGGACAAACGCACGCAACTGCTCAGGGTGCGGGCTTGGGGACCCGGAATCCTCATCCCAAAGCTCCACTCTAGACTCTCCCTAAACCCTAAACCCTAAGCCATAAACCCTGAACCCTAAGCCCTAAACCCTAAACCCTAAGCCATAAACCCTGAACCCTAAGCCCTACACCCTAAACCCTACGCCATAAACCCTGAACCCTAAGCCCTACACCCTAAACCCTAAACCCCTAAACCCTAACCCCTAAACCCCTAAACCCCTAAACCCTAAACCCCTAAACCCTAAACTCTCAGCCCGAGGAAGCTTCAAAATCTCGAGACCCGGAACATCCTAATTCCTCGAGAAGGAAGCCTCCCCAAACCCTGAATCCCAAAACCCTCAAACCCTAAAGTAAAAGCCAGAAAGTTGGAATATGATTAATTATCCTAAACCCTTTATGGTAAATTATAGGGGATCCTACCATTAATCCATATTCCAACTTTCGGAGTTCCCTTTAAACCCTTGTGTTTGATTAGGGCTTCGGGCTTAAGGTTTAGGGTTTGGGCCCGTTACAGCCAAAACCTATACCCGACACCCTGATCAAACACAGCCCGGCCAGCTCCACGAAAGGGTGGCAGCCAAGGTTGCCTTAGACGACGGCTTTCGGGTCGAGCACATTTGGGAGTTTCCGAAAACTAGGGGTATCTTGTTTTGGGGTCCTTCTCTTGAGGATCCTACTATTCGGGGTACCAGATTCCCCTATTCTCGGAAACTGCCATTTAAGGTGCAGGATTCTAGGTCTGTAGGATTTAGGAGCTTCCGAAAATAGGGACCCCAACTATAGTACCCTAAGTAGTAGGATTCCCAAAATACGGTACCCCTAATTTTCGGAAAGTCCCATTTAGTGGCCAGGGTCTATAGGGTTTAGGGTTCAGGGTAAGCACACAAGGTTTTGGATGTAGGATTCCAGGGTCTAGGACATTTGGATTTTACTGCGAAGGTTGTGATGTCCAGAGCCGTGGGAAACTGCAGATTCCACAAATAACTGTTTTTAGTTAACATATGCTTCACGAGTCGTGAGTTTCAGATTATGTTATGTTTGTTGTGCCTGTGTGTGTGTGTGCGTCATGTGTTTTTTTTCTTATGGCTTGGTTTATGATTTGTCTATGTTTTTTGGAAGACATGACTTTCATACGGTTTTGCACGGCTTCGATACGATTTAAATATGATTTCGAGACGATCGATACGTCTCAGATTCTTCCAGGACTTGTTCTGATATGTGCTTGCTATGTTGTTGATATGGTTTGCGGACTTGCAGCCGGTCTCATATTCAGAACCATGCCAGAACCACAAGCGGAAAGACACCCTGAACCATAACAAAACCAACAACGATCGATAAAGACATGTTATTGGCACATAACCCCCTACTTTGCCAGGTGCTACGGGCTTACAGAGCTTTAGGGTTTGGGGTTCAAGGTGTGAGTACTCAGGGGCTTAGATATTTGGGAGCAAGGGGGTTGCAAGGGCTGCGACGCTGTGGGCCCGAGGCCTCAGAAATTGCAACTAGAATGAGACTGCCAGATCCTGCTATATTTAAGGTATATTGTTTAATTATGGGACATTGGAGTCTAATATTCCTTAAATCATATTAGGGATCCTCTTGTACTTTGAGGTATATTCTTTAATTAGGGGATATTGGAGTCTCTGGCTAGCCAGGCTGCCAACTACCAGAGAGTGTTCCGGCGTCTGTATTGCAATGAGGTAGTCCTCCTCTTCCTCCACCTCAGGGTGTAGGGCAGTGTAGTTACAGGGGCCCTTAGGGGGTAGGGGGAGGGAGTAGGGGGTCTGAATGCCCAGAATAAGGACCTAAAGAAGTCCCCTACCGCCCTCCGCCTTACCCCCCCAAAAGTCCCTATGAGGTAGGGCTCAGGGAGCTTTCTTGGATCATGATCAAGCCTTGCCTCTAATCTCACCTTGCATCCTCAGTGCCCCCCCGGGTCCTCCGAGCTGGTTCCATTACAAGCTCTATAACCCTATGGGTCCATGTACCAGGAAATAGTATATACTTTGGCCTTAAAGCAATCCCTATATAGGTACATGGACCCTGAACCCTAAACAATCAAATACCAAACTCAAGGACCCTTTGTCTGAGCTCTTATCTAGGGTGTAACGTCAGAGCTCGCCTGGACGAAGCCTGCCTCGTTGGGAGTTAGGTTGGTTGGTTGGTTGGTTGAGGGTTTAGGGTTTAGGGTTTAGGATTTGGGGAAATTTCGGGGATATAGACCCTCTCAATAAGGTCCCTTTTAAGAGAGCCAAAAGTAGGGTTCAGAAGGGGTACCCTTTAAGGGGTCTCCCTAATAATACTAGGATACCCAGTAACCTAAGAATAAGAAGGCCTCTCTTTTTGGTATTGGGTAACTTTATAAGGAACCTAGGACTACAAAAAGGGAATAAGGGTACTACTGGGCATCCTAGTACTACCCGCCTCAGTGTAGCATTGCATCTTAAAGCCGCCGGGCGCAGTCAAAGTTGAGCCGTCGGCAGTCCACTTTGCTGCCTTCACGGAGGCAGCCAGCGCACCCAAAGTGGCGTCCTTGTGGGATAGGGTCTGGGGCTTTGTGTTTAGGTTCTGGGACGCTGGATCTTGGGTCAAATTTGTGTGCTTCCCTTCAAAGTGGCATCCTTGTGGGATAGCTTACCTTTGGTTAGTAGGGAATGGAGGAATGGGGTACAAGTATAACTACTATTACTAGCACTCTTCCATTCCCTAGTGAGCAAAGGTAAGATAGGGTCTTTTGGGCTTGGTGTTCAGGTTCCGGGCCGCTGGATCTTCTTGTAAATTTGTGTGCTTCCCAAGTAAAGTCGTGTGTTTGTTTGTACTGG